GATAAGTGCTAAGTTTTTCTAATACCCTTTTTTGTTTTTCGTATTGCAAAACTATTGCATATTTTAAACTCGTGCCTTCCATAAAAAGAACAGTATTGACTCGTTGAATTTTTTTTTTTTGTAACTAACTGGAAATTAGTTATATTTGTTGATTAGATGGTGGTTAATTCTATGAAATTTGTAGTTAGCCATGACTTTATTTTTTTTTTTTTCATGATATTTTAACTTAGGCTGCAGCTATTTTGCAAACCCATCATTATAAATTTGAAATAGTAAGCCAAAATAATCTATATTATTGGTATCAATTTTAACCTCTTAAAGAAAGGAGGTGCTATGAAATGGAGAAATAGTTTCTCAATGTAAAAAACTTTGAAGACTAAATCTGGAAGATCCACCTTGGTTCAAATTAATTACAAACCACCTCCTAAACCGAACCAAACCGTAAGCCCGATAGAAGATCCAATTTCCATCACATTCCACTCCAAACGACATCGTTTACGAGATTTTGGTATTTGGTAACGTGGACCCACCAGAGAAACAGTTTTACGCTTAAGCGAATGAAGGAAAGCCGTTCCACCGTTGGCCGGACTTTTCTCTCCGGCGTCGAGGATCTCGGTGGTTGAAGGAGGAATCAATCCTCACACATCATGATAATAAGACACCTCAATGCCATGGCTGCTTTACTCATGATGTTCTTCACTCTCTTAATCCTCTCTTTCACGGGGATTCTCGAATTCCCATCTGCCTCCACTTCGATCGGAAACCCGATTGACCCGGAACCGAAACTACCCGATTCCTCCACCGCTGTATCATCGGATCCGTTCACCGATGTGTTGGTGGCTTTTAGAAAATGGGACTCGCGAGTGGGTTGTGCTCGGTTCAGGGATTCGATTCGGGGAAATGTTAGTTCTTCGGGTTCTCTACAAGGATCCGGTGATGGGTTTGGTTGTGGTGAGCTGAAGATGGATCATGTTAGGGTTTTGGTTAAAGGATGGACTTGGATTCCGGATAATTTGGAAAATTTGTATTCTTGTCGTTGTGGGATGACTTGTTTCTGGACTAAATCACCTCTTCTTGCTGATTCACCTGATGCTTTGTTCTTCGAGACCACTACTCCTCCGTTACAGGTAGTTTTGTTAAATGCATGTGGTCTTGTGATGTTTGCTTCACACTAGCTCTTAAGTGGTGTATTTAGGTTATCAATTCTTGGAATAGTGAGGTTAGAGCTTTGGATTTGTCTCCAGGGCTGCATTTCAATGGTTTTGATTGTGGTCTCATGTGTCTTAAGTTCAACATTGAGTGTTTATGGTGTTTATCAATTCAAGCTATAGAATATCTTTTTAGTTTAGGATTCACTTGAAGATACTGAACTTTGTGCAATGCCAAAAAAAAATTCCAATTTGAGAAACTTGCTTGAAGCTAATTTTGGAGATAGAGCTACTTTGTGCATTCATTTTGGGAAAAGTGGGTCATAGATTTGGACGACCAGGCAAAATCAGATTTCAGATGCTCTTATTCTCCTTGAATTGAATGTGTGATCCTGCTTCGCTATAGTGATCTTTCAATTATTGTATCCCTTTGATGCTTAGAGACGTGTTGGAGATCCGCTTCGTGTGTACATGGATCTAGAGGTCGGAAGAAAACGCTCAGGTCGTGAAGATATATTCATTAGCTACCATGCCAAAGATGACATCCAAACAACTTACGCTGGTGCTCTCTTTCATAATAACAGAAACTATCATATCTCTTCACACAAAAACAATGTAAGTTACCTGTTAAACAACATTAATCCCAAAATCTTTGATTTTGTTATTTTTAATTCAATTGATAAATATTGTACAGGATGTTTTGGTGTATTGGTCTTCCTCGAGATGTCTCTCTCACAGAGACCGCCTTGCTAAGAGCCTCCTCGATCTGGTTCCCCACCACTCCTTTGGCAAGTGTCTAAACAATGTTGGTGGCTTGGACTCAGCTCTCTCTATGTATCCAGAATGTGTTGCCGAGTCCAACTCGGAGCCAAAATGGTATGACCACCTCCACTGCGCTATGTCACATTACAAATTCGTCCTTGCAATCGAAAACACAGCCGCTGAGTCATACGTCACCGAGAAGCTTTTCTATGCACTCGACTCGGGTTCTGTTCCCATCTATTTTGGAGCCTCTAACGTGCAAGACTTTGTCCCTCCGCATTCTGTGATCGACGGTAGCAAATTCAGTTCGATCCAGGAATTGGCAGCATACGTGAAGCGGCTCGGTGATGATCCCGTGGCTTACTCGGAGTACCACGCGTGGAGGCGGTGTGGAATAATGGGGAACTACGGAAAAACCCGCGCGGTGAGTCTAGATACATTGCCGTGTCGGTTGTGCGAAGAAATTAGTAGAAGAGGTGGGAAGAACGCCGGAGCTTGACGAGCCACCGGTGGTTTTGGAGCTGTGGGATTTGTTACATCAAGAGTGGTTGTGTAAATGTGATTTCATGTTCTGTTTCGGTTATAGAACAACTTTTTTTGTTATATAGATATAATCAATCACACTCCGTGAAGTAAATTCAATCAACTCATGTGTTTAACTGTTTAAGGGACAAAAACAAAATTATTTACGTGCTGTCAAGTGTTAACTTAAACCTAGAGATAAAAAGTGGTAAAAAGAAGAACATAACAAAAAGATGGTTTTATTAGAGAAACAATAATAATGTTTGCCGTCTCATGTAAGTGATGCAATAATAACACTAATCACTTTATAATAAAAACAATAGTAACACTAATCTTACCTGACATTTAAATCAACTGTGAAGATTTTCAAAGCCCATGTCCAACTCTCCCATCAGTATGATATTGTCTGTTTTGGGCCAAAGTAGCAAAGCCCGCACGGATTTGTTATTGGGTTCCTTCCCAAAATATCTTATACTAAGTAGAGTTGGACATCTCTTATATATTAGACAATTATTGTCTAAATTTTCGATGTGGGATTTGGATTGATATCCCAACAATCCTCCCCTCAAACCAAGTACCACATAAACCCGTGGCCTTCTACCTCCAGCGAAACTTGGCATCCATCTAGTACCGCTTGTTCTTCACCTAACCATTGGGATACCGTTAGGAATACCTTCGATACAAGGTCTCTGCACCCTTATTCGCGAGGTCACCTTTTGGGGAGCTCTCCTCCCACATCGAACACGCAGCCCAACCCATCTCCAGGTCCCCTTTTCCAAACCTAGGCTATGATACCAACAGTGGGGCTTTTCAAGCCCATGTTGAACTCTCCTATTAGTATGATATTGTCCGCTTTGGGCCCAGAGGGCAAGTCCACACGGTTTTGTTCTTGGGCTCCTTCCTAAAAGGTTTCATACTAAGAAAAGTTGGACATCTCTTATATATTAGACAATTATTGTCTAAACTTCCGATGTGGGACTTGAATTGATATCCCAACACCAACAAAAGAAATATGTAAAATATAGTATTTCTACAGTTGCTAACATGGATGGTCGCAAATAACACGACAGACGATCGGTTTGGTAGATGAATAGTCGAAAATATCAAAAAATTAGAAAAAAAAATCATCAGAAGACAAGCCAGAAAATTTCAGACATGATCTATCAATGGCTATTTGGGATTTAAATAATGATGGATGATCTAATGCATGTGGGAATCGTCTCATAGGGATAAAAGAAACATA